CAAAATTATAGCTACTATATAACGTTTCATATGTTATGTTTGAAGAATAATTTTCAAATTTTATATTTAAAGTAAATATCTGATACCTGTTTTTGTGACCATATTTATGAATCGTATGTCAAAGTAAATATCTGATTTCCTTCTTAAAAATCAGATATCAGCGATCAGACATTTAGTGAAAATTGGTACCAATTTGAGATTTGTCATGACCTCATCTATTGAGTTCGCTGTTTTTTTTTTGTCGAAAGACAATAATACTAACCGTGCTATCTATAGTTGCTGATGTATATGCAATATTGTCCACATATATTTTCAGTGTTGATAAACAATTGAGACGGCCATCAAGTAGATAAAGACAATCATCGAAAGTTTTCACACTAATTTCCAATGAAGTCAAAGTTGAAGAGTTGCAATTGGTTGATAATACGTCCAAAATAGGACTCGTTGATCGATGATAGAATTGACAAAAATTTAACTTTATTAATCTTTTACATAAAGATAGAATCAAAATAAACATAGTCGAAAGAGTTTGAGGAAGTGGTGGTGGTACTGTTGTCTGATCCTTGACATCAATTTGAAGACATGTTATTTGTTCAATCAGAAGCTTGCGAAGCATTGTATCACCTTTGGTTCACAGACAAAAAAAAAGGAAATTGATTATTACGTTATGTCTAATGAATTGACCATGAAGTTAATTAAAATAAAGAAAATAAAATAGTTAACCTGTTAAGTATTTGATACGTACTTCTTCTTGAAAATCTATAAGTGATAAGGAGTAAAGTTGAGGATAATGGATTCTATGAAGGATATGATCCATTGAATGTTGTTCAAGAGTGAGTTCATTTACTTGATGATGAATTCGAGGTAAAATATTTTTAGAAATTCTTGAAAGAACTTTATTCTCTATTGAATAGACAAGATCAAAACATGATTTCATCGTCATAGAAGTCATATCAAGATTACGAATATAAAGTGGATCAAGTAATAATTTATCAAATCGTTGATTGACATCGACAAGTGAATAGAGAACATCGACCATATTTAGTTTGTTAAAAATTATAAATAAAATTTCATTGGGCATATCAAGTATACTGAGATGATTGTTATTTGAAATATTCATGTCTAATAGATTCATTTCA